TCTGGAATCCAGGCTGAGCCCCTGCCCCACCCTCTCCCTGGGCCTCATTCTACACCCAGCCCCCTCCTCAGACAGCCAGCCTGGCATTTGTTCCTCCCTGCACACCTGGCAGGAGAGACAGCCTCCGGTTGCACCTGAGAACCCCACCTCTCTCCCAGCCCTCAGGGATCCATACCTGCCCGCAGAGAGAAAGGCCCCGGGGATCCCTGGAGGGAAGGGGCAGCCAGCTCTGCCCCACCACAACTGTGCAGGAAGAGCCCAGCAGGTCGGCCAGCACTTACCCGTGGTCCAGGGGGCAGCGCGGGCCAGGGACAGGTGCCAGGTGCGGGCACTGCAGACTCAAAGGTGCTATGGCGGCTTCCGCGTCTGGGATGCCATCAGAGGCTTCGAGCGCCCAGGAGCCCAAAAGAGAGCAACCCCATGCTCCCTGGGCACATAACATAAAGGTCCTGTGCCCAACGTCCGCCACCAGCTTTCGACCGCGAGGGGGCGTCGGCCTTTTTTTTTTTTTTTTTTTTTTTGACAGGCAGAGTGGACAGTGAGAGAGAGAGAGACAAGAAAGGTCTTCCTTTTGCCGTTGGTTCACCCTCCAATGGCCGGCGCACCGCGCTGATCCGATGGCAGGAGCCAGGTGCTTCTCCTGGTCTCCCATGGGGTGCAGGGCCCAAGCACCTGGGCCATCCTCCACTGCACTCCCTGGCCACAGCAGAGAGCTGGCCTGGAAGAGGGGCAACCGGGACAGGATCCGGCGCCCCGGCCGGGACTAGAATCCGGTGTGCCCCCGCCGCAAGGCAGAGGATTAGCCTAGTGAGCCACGGTGCCAGCCGGGCGTCTGCTTTTGAAGCTTGCGCAGCCCGCTCGCCCCTGACCCTTAGGCAGACCCGCGGGCAAGCAGCGGTTTCAGGAGTCCAAAACCGCGTCCTCCTCCGTCCCCAAAGCAGGGTTGGGGTGGGAGAGCCCCCATCTACGGCGGTGCTGAGGCCATGCAAGCGGCAGCGGCGGACTCGGCTCTGGAAGCCACCTGGAGCCTGAATCCCAGCCCCTCAGCTGTGGGCGCTGTGCGGGAGGGGAGAGGGAGTGCCCCAGTTAGGAGGCCTGCGTTTGGGCTGCAAATGCCGACTTTGCTGTTAGAAACTTCTAATAAAATATCTAGGGGGAGGGTTTCGGATACCTCCAAGGACGCCTGAATGAAGAAAATGTTTCCAAAATGGCGTCCCAGGGGGAGGAAAGGACGCCGTCGTCATGGCGGCCGCCTCTTACCGTTTCCCGCAGCTGTGGACCATTCGGGCCTCGCCGGGGCCGCTGGGAAGGCCGCACATCCGGGTGTCCGCTGCCAGGGTCCACTGGCTTCAGGCGTCCCCACATAACCTAGTGAAAAGTAGGCCATGGGAAGAAGGGTTCCCCCAAAGAAACTACCCCCATCGTCTGCCTGGGCTTCTGTAGCAGGGGGAAGGGCATGGCCAAGGCCAGCCACAGACCGGAGGGCCCTCCTGCTTCCGCCCGGGCCAATCTTCATACTTCCTCAGTTCAGCAAATGGCGGCCGTCTCCTCCCCTGGTGAAGAACCGGACCGCACTATGAGGAAAGCCTAGCTCAGGTCTGCAAGATCTGACTCGAACTGGCTTCTTGCTGCTGCTTCAGTGGTGGTTTGTAGCAGTCCAGACACTCTGAGTTAAATGTAACAATTTCAGCTCCCCGGGTACATCAGGAAAACAAGCTCTAGGCGGTTTACATTCCCAGCCCCTGGTCCATTTCTCCCCTCCCCACTTCCCCCAAATCCTACACATTTGGCTACAAGATGCCCCCTAAGACATTTCACTCCCATCTTGAGGGGTAAGGCAGGAAGTCAAGCTGCTGTAACTACTTCTTGATGATCCTGGACATGGCCCAGGCTGGTGGAGAGAGACTCTCCTACTCAACACCCACAAAGGACTTGAGACACCGGGTGTAGCCCCCAGAGGCTATGGGCAACAGGGCAGGCGTTTATAGGCGTCCTTTCCTGACATTATATGTGGGGCCCAGTAGAGCAGCAGTTTGAGGTCTGACAGAGGCTCTCCAAGGAGCCATGTAAGGTTCAGGTGAAACACAGAACTTCTCTGCTCTCAGGTGTGGAGACTTAAAGGAATCCCGTGTGGTAGTTTAAGAGAACAGTCAGTCGTTAGCAGGGCCAGGTGTGGTCCTGCCCAGATGGGGTTAAACTGCTCCTGAAGAGAGCTCAGTTTACAATCAAGGGGGTAGGCTTTCTACCTGTGTAGGTGAGAGTAGGTCTTATTTGCACACCAGATGAGAGCAGCCACTACCTGCCCTCATTGTGTTTTCTTGTTCTCATTTTCCACCTTTGGCAGGTCAAGGGCCCAGCACAATTGGGAAAGAGCCTTCCATAGATAATTCACATGGGCTGAATCCTAATTTCTTTTTATGGTTGCTGTAACACAGGTTAAGGATTTGGAAAAGACCTTTAAGCACTTTTCATGAATTTCTAGGAAAAGGCTAACTGATTCATATTTAGGGTCTTACTGGATGGTTTCCAGACAATTGGGGTCTCCGGGCAGCAAGTGATATGTGTCTTATGCCTAAAATTTAGGGACTCCAGCCATCTTGGAAACCAAAACCTACCCCAATACCACTTTGATGATCATAAGCAGACCAAATCTCAAATTTCCCTCTACAGTTTTTTTAAAACAATACTTATTTGACATAGACACAGATATCACACATCTGCTGATTCACCCCTGAAATGCCACTACTGGGGACTGGGCACTCAATTGAGGTCTGACACATGGGTGGCAGGGACCCAACCAGTTGAGCCATCATGTGCTGCCTCCCCAGGAGTACATACACAAGAAGCTAGAATCAAAGTAGAGATAGGACTGGAATCTAAGCACCACCATGTAGGATGTGTGTATCCCCCACAGTGTCCAAACTCCTGCTTCAAATCCCACCCTGAGAAGGCTTTTAATGACTTAGACATCCACTGCTGCTCCATCCTGGCTTAGAAACAGAAGCATCTGATTTCATAACCAGTCTCTTCCCAAGGGTGGGATGGGAAGCTCAGGGAATCAGTGAGTCAGAACTTTAAAACCAGGACACAGGGCAAACATTCCACCCCTCTCTGTGTCTGCTTTCACTGAAACTCCTTTAATAGCTCGTTTTGTGACTCCAGTGTCCATCTTCTCTCTCTCCAGCTTGTCCTATCTCTAGGGTATCCAGGGGTACCACAGAGGATTTGGATTTTATCTAGAGGAGCCATCTGCAGAGCTAGTAACCCATCAGTCTTCTTCTGTTGAGGGGAGCTGAGCCCTTCCCGTCTGGGGACACCTTTGCCACTCCTCACCAGTGTCCTTCCTGCTTGCTGTAGGCACATGGGCGAGGCTCTAACTTAGCTGCTAACATTTGGATGGGCGCTTTGTGGTTTCCGGGTCACCCACCTGTGTCAGTGTCCCTCATCCTCTTGGGGTCCCTGGAATAAACTGAAGAGCAATAAGCAAGCCAGTAGCCTGTGTCCACATCTTTCTGTCCCCCCCCCATGCTGATGTTCTCCATGTTATGGCTCACGAAACACAGAAGGCAGTGTCCAGCAATAAAGAGGATTAGCTTCAGGACTGATAGTGTTTAGGTTGTCTGGACACTCTGAGATAGGAAGCAGCTGTTAGAAACCCCTGACTTTCCTGGGCATCAGGGTCCCAGGAAGCCTGCTGTCTTACACACCCCCTTATCCTCTTTGGGATGTAGAGGCCACTGTAGAGTTACAGGAGTCGGATGGGGGATGGTTTAAGTCCAGATTCCAGCTTGGAAAGGATATTCTACCCTCCCCCCTGTGGGAAGGTACACAAAACTGGTGAAACATGAAAGCCTCTAGGGACTGGGGGAGCAAGAAGAATAAAATCCCAGACTTACATCAAGTGGTGGGAAGGTGAACCCAACATCAGAGTCATCCATTGTGAACCATGAAATTCCCTCTCAATTTCTACCTATAGAAGGTAGAGGTCTCTAACCCAGAAGAAAGTGGCCCCATGCTGTGAAGCAGGGAAGGTCAGACCCAGCAACCCAGAGACCAGGCTCAGGGCTTTCTCAGACCTCTCGCTTTGCACTCCTCTGTCTCCCAGGGGAGAACCTGACACCAGCATTCTGGCATCCTGGGAAAGGCTGTCCCTTTCTCCTCCACAACTGTGATCTGTTGCTGAACTTCCGGTTTTGGTAATCATGTCTGGGGTATTTGACACTTATCAGAGCTGCCCAAATGACTCAGCCATGATTCCCGTAAGATGCTAGACAAACAGGAGTGCAGGTGACCATGCACTTCTCAGCTCTCTGCATCAGCAGCTCAGAATGGCCAGGCCCCAAGCCACACCTTAGTGCCATAAGGTGGAGTAAGTGTCCCCAAGAGTAAGTGCTCCTGGATCTGCTGCTGCCACCATTGCTCAGATCTTGGTGATGGACATCTTGACCCAGGATGCAGCAAGTGTTACCCACAAGCTGCCTGGCATTCTTTAATCTGACACTGCCAACTGCTGAACTCCCAGTTCCCAGAAGCCCCAACACTAGGCTAGGAACCATCCCACGTAGGTCACCATTGTCATTGCTGGAGTGTTGGCTATAGCTCAGCCTCTACCAGAAGGAGCATAAAGAAGAGCATTACAAACTTGTGAGGAGTAAGAGAAAAACAGGGAGGTAAAATTGTCTCCCTGGGGCCTGTGTCATGGAACAGCAGGTTAAGTCATCACCTGCAACTCCTGCATCCCATACCTCAGTGTAAGTTTGAGCACTGGTTCCCCACTTCCATCCCAGCTCCCTGCTCAGACAACTGGGAAAGCAGTGGAAAACTGTCCCCATATGTGGGCTCCTGCAACCCATGGGAGAGATGCAGATGGAGTTCTGCCAGGCTCACTTTGGAATGACAACCTTTTATGGGGGAGGGGTGAACCAGCAGATGTAACACAATGCTCTGTGTCTCTCCCTCTCTCTCTTTCACTCTTTCAAATAAACTTAAAGAGAGAGAGAGAGAGAGAGAGAGAGAAGAAAGGACAACCATGGCATGAGAATCAGATTTCCTGTTATGCCACAGCCAGACCTATGGAGTGCCTAAGATGTGGCAGGAGAGGCCAGGGAAGCCCCTCCTTTTCCTAGAACTCTAAGCATGCCCCATTCCTTGTCCAGCCCTTCTTGGGATCTCCCACATCTAGGGTGTTTGCATCATACAGGTGATGCCAGGCTTAGGGGTTCCTTGGCACTACAGAACTGATGGCATCCCTTCAAGCAGATGCTAGAATGATCCCCAGAGACAAGAAGAGAGACTGAGAATGTCCAGAGAGGGACAATGATCTGTGCAGGATCAAACTTGTACAAGGATGAGAGAGCAGGTCTGAGCCAGGTGACACTGTCTGCCACCAGGCCAGCCCTGTGGCAGGTGCTGCCTGTGTTGGTGCAACTGTGGACAGTGGGCACATGGCATGGGGTAGTGGAATAGGTAGTGCCCACTGAGAATTTGGGGATATTTTGTGTGAGGAGGGGGCTGAGCTTAGGAGCCACAGGAAGTGGCCTCACTATGTTGGTGATGACCTATTGAACTGGCTGCCCCGGCAACCACCCCAACATTCCAGAGTTGAGTCTAAGCCAGCTCACTTGGATAAGAGTCTCATAAGAAGATGTTCCTTTGTTGCATCCCGCGATGCCGAAGCCCAGGCCCCAAGAAACCCTGCTGTGGGCGCCTTGCCCAGTGGTGGGGACATTGGGCCAACCCTCACTCCCGACGTACCTGGCGCTTAAAACAGAAAAAGGCCAGGGTGAGTCTGGTAGCCAGGGCAGGTCTCTGCTGGCCAGGACACCACTGGGACCTCATGGGCCCTGGGTGTGGGGGGATGGGGCCTCTTCACCCTTGGAGGAGGGAGGTTGGAGTTCAGAGGTGGGGGCAGCCTGAGGCCCAGAGCTGCTGGCTGTGGAGGGATCTCTGGGACTGCCTCTTCCCTGCCATTCTCGCTCTTGTCCCCCAGGTCCAGGACCAGTCAGCCTCGCCCCTGGAGCAGCACAGCAGGCTGGGGATCGCCAGCAGCCCAGACCTGCATCAGTTGCCTAAAACTGATGAGCTCTGTGTGGTGGGGCAGAGGTCAAACATGCTCACAGCTCTGAAGCTACCATCACAGATGTTCCCCAGCATGCACAAACCACCTGAGGTCCCACTCAGTCACTTGGTAACCATTGCCCAGAGAGAGCCCAGGGGTTCCATAAATGCCCATCTCACAGCCGGGACAGTGGGGCCTGAGGACGGCTCCACCTGTGCTGGAAGTGAAGCAAGGCAAGGGCCAGGCCCGGCACCTGACCTCACGGCTGGAGCAGAACAGACCACTGACCTTCAAGCAACATTCCTGCTGGAGCAGTGCTGGCCCTCCAAGGAGGAGCACTGGCACAAGGATGCACGGGGGACAGCCGTGTCCCCAGGGACTGAGCAGGGTGCACCAGACACAGCACTGGCCCCGGCCTCAGCCCCAGCTCCTGCAGTCCCTTCTGCTTCAGCCCCAGTGCCACACCTGTCCTTCCCCATCCCCGTGATCCTGTATTTCTCTTTACTCCTCCCCATTGTGTTCCTTTTCTCCACCTTATTGTCCCTATACTATAATAAAATTTAATTCCTTACCCAGTGTGTATGTACAATTTGCACTGTGCAAACTCCCCAGGCCCTGCCCTCCCCTCCCCACTCTCACTGCACAGTGGCCCCAATGCCAAGGCTCTGGATACTCTGAAGATGACACTGACACCTCCCAGGGGCAGAGCCAGAGTTGCCTTTTTGGACAAAGAGCAGCAAATAATGGGAAGGCCAAGGAAAGCAATGAACATGGGGACACTGTTATGGATAGGGCAGCACCTCCCCATGGTCATAGACGTGGGCTCTAAGGTCAGACAGAACTGACCTGCAGTGGGTGTTCTCACTGCAGCCTCAATGTCCTCATCTGTGAAATGGGATGGCAGCCCTGCCCACAGCCATCACTGGTACAAGGAATGCGATGCACTGCACCTCCCTGCACACACTGGGAGCCCCCCAGCTTCTGGGATGAGGGGTGTACAGGGAGAGGGTAGGTGGTTCTTAGGGCACAGCCTCAGAGCCATGGGCCACACACAGAAGCTGTCACAGTCTCTGTCCCTGTGCTCAACAATGGGTCACTGGCAGAGAAGCAGAGCAGGGGTTGGCTCACTGCACAGGAGACAGGGGAGCCTTGTCCAGGACCCCATGTGATCCAGACTGTCTGGTGTGCAGATGAGATGGATGTGTCATGGCTGGGAAGATGGAGACACAGAGGATGTCCCCAAGGACAGTGACTGCTCTTTCCCTGAGCTCCTGCGATTTCTGGGCCCCTGGCCAGGTGCACTGGGCCCCGTATCTCAGCCATGGGGAAGCACTGCTGTCACTCCCCATTTGCAGATCAGGAACCCCCTGAGAGGGAAGCCCCACCCAGGTCACGGCTGTGCTGATCCCAGATGAGGACTCCCCTCCCCAGCATGAGCCAGACTGTGTGGCCTGTGGGCACACAAGGACATCACAGAAAGCTAGGAGGGAGTATGAAGGCTATGAATTTCATCAAGAGATTATAGCCACAGGGATTTTCTTAATGGGCTTCTCAGCTGACCCACTAGGGCTGAGGGATGCCTGTGGAGGAGGAAGCTGGGGCACTGGAATGCTGACCTGTGTGTATTCCTGGGAATGGCCTGGATCACACCCAGTGACAGCACTGGCCCCATGACTGTCCCTCTGGAAAATGTCCCAAATCACCTGATGCCTGTGCACCCTGCACACCCATCAGCCTGGAGCCCAGGTCAGGCCAACTGGAGGGAGTGGGTGGCAGTGGGTGCACCTCCCCTGCAGAGTCCCAGGCAGCTCAGTTTGGCTGCCTTGGCTTGGACAGCCCCAGAGACCTGTGCTCCCCAGCACTGAGAATGCAAAGAGTGGAGTGTACGCCACTCAGGACAGCCAATGTCCCCATCACAAGGTCATGAGCTCATGGTCATGTCTAGTTCCAGGTCCTGGGGTCTAATGGCTGGAGCCCACCCCCAGGAAGCTGAGCTGAGGGTTATCTCACCATGACTAGTGGTGTAGCCTGATTCCCTGATCAACTGTAGGGTCCAAAAGAGGCGGGCTGCCCCAGCACAGGGGACAGAGGGGGCAGGGGCCAGAGAGATGCGAGCTCTGGGCTGTTGTGGGGAGATGTGAGTATGAACAGCTGAGGGGTGAGCCCCTGCAGGCCTCTGTCCTCACGTGGGTCTCTCACTGTGTCCTGACCACTCAGTGACATGGGCATGTGAGGTCCCCACTAAGGCTAGAGGCCCTGCTCTCTGCAGTCTACTTAGCAGCAGAGCCAGGTTTAAGACAAGAAGCTGCCATAAACCCTGGGACTCCCTTGATAATGAGACTGCACCCAGATGCCTTGGGAGAGGTTTCTGTGGCCTACAGTTCCCGGAACTCCTGGTCCTGACATGCATGGACACACAGCCTGAGATGGGGGTGCCTCTAACTCCTGACTTCTCGGAAGGCTGCAGGCAGGGAGGGTGCAGCCCTTGAAGGACGCTGGGACCCCGAGTCCCATGGAGACCTCAGCAGGGCCTTGAGTTCAGGATGCAGAGTCAGAGAGACAGGATGGTCATGGCCACTCTTTCAAGCTGCTGACTACAGACAAGACTCTGAGCCTCAGTTTCCCCATCAGAGAAATGGGAGACAGCCAGGCTTTCCTGTTCAGCTGTGCACAGCACTCCCTAAGAACAGATGTGGGAATCTTGCCCTGTAACATTTGCCCATGAACAGCCACGTGGCAGCAGTTTGGAGGTCCTCTGGGGCCCAGGGACAAGGAAGGCCCTCCCTAGGGGGGTCTCCTCCTTCTGCTGACCCAGGAATGTTCTGTATGATTGGAGGGGGAGTGGAGCAGGTGCAGTGTGACATCCCTTCTCCCCCCAGTAGAAGGGGCTTAATGTGGGATAGACTGGGGTGCACTCTGTGCTGGGAGCCCTGTGACCCCACCCAGGACTGCTTCTCTTGCTTCCATTCTTCTCTCATTCATTCACTCATCTTTGAGCAAACATTCACTATCCCTCTGTGTGCCCATGGCTGTGGCTTCCTCTCCTGGTGTGACCTGCCATGATCCCTGTCCATGTGGCATCTGTGTCCACTCTCTGACTTATGGATGGGCCCTGAACTCAGCGGGGCTGATGTGATTCAGAAACCATTCACTGTATTAAGGGAGAGACTCAAGGATCAAGAAAGTAAAAAGGCCAGCCTGTCATGTCAACATAAAGAATGACATTAGAAGTTATGGAATGTGATGGGGCAAGCATTGCGGCATAGCAGGTAAAGCTGCCACCTACAAAGGCAGCATCCCACATGGGCACCAGTTCATGTCCTGGCTGCTCCACTTCCAATCCAGCTTCCTGCTGATGACCTTGGTAAAGCTGCAAAGGATGGGCCAAGTGTTTGGGCCCCTGCATCCATGTGGAAGACCCAGAGAAAGCTCCTGTCTCCTGGCTTTGTCCTGGCCCAGCCCTGGCCATTTTGGCCATCCAGGAATTGGATTGGCAGATGAAACATCTTTCTCTTCCCCCCCCCCCCGTAACTCTTTAAAATAAATAAATCTTTGAAAAATAAAATAAAATTTACAAGTATCATGATTATGCATCCTATTTTCAAAGACTTGAGGAGAGAGAAATGTGTAAGGGGGCAGAATAATTATGATACTTAATGAATTTAGGAGTTTATGAGCTTTTTGTGAGTTGTAACATTTTCAGAATAATTAAAGAAGTTACAGCAAAAAAGTCCTACAACAGTAACTGATTTAAATATGCATAAAAACAAAATGATTAATAAATTTTTATGTAAACTTGGCTTCAAAGAGAACTGATACTAGTAAAAATTATTCAACAAAAGAACAACAGATTTTACATTTTGAATAATTAAGTAGGACCTGAAAAATCTGTGAGGCCTCTCATGTTGCCATTTCAGTTAAAACATTTGAGCCATCAGCCATTCACGGAAACTTCTCATTGTCAATCCAGGAGGCTCTGAACATGAAGCTGGTAGTTTGATCAAAATGGTTGAGAAAATACTATAACATGGCTGATGCTACTGTTGAAAGACCCCTGCTTGGTGGGGCATTGGAACTGCTGGCAGAGGTGGTTCTTGCTCTACAATGAGAGAGCAATCAACTGAGGAGCCGGGAAGACCTGGAGAAAGAGCCAGTCTCCTGAACTTCCACAGCCTCTCCCAGAGAGAGGCAGTTGGCACAGATCAGCCCCTGCTTGTGAAGCCTTCTCCTTTAACCTCACAAAGGAGCAGTCATTCCAGTGTCTCAGAGACAGAGACATTGACACTGTGGCTCCTGGAGGCGAAGGAACTTCTCCCAAACTAACAAAATCAACCCAGACTCCATCCTGATCCCTTTCAGCTGACCCTGCTTTAGAATGGAAAGTGGTGTTAGACATCCCAACAGAACAAGATCCCAGAGATACAAAAAGGTATTATTTCAGGCTCTGCTTTCTGTGATGCTAGTGATCACGTGGCTGTGAACATGTTAACTTCCCATTGCTAGAAGAAGTAGAGAAACCAAGATTGTGTTTGTGTTCTTTCAAGTGCTTGCTGGTAAAAAAAAAATAATAATAATACATAGTTCAAGTAATTCATCATTGTTGATCATTGTTCTAAAATGACAAACACACAACAAGCACACTCCTGCCTGTTCAGTAAGTCACTATATAATTTGATAACTGATGAAAAAACTAGACAATTATGATGAGTCTGTATGAATTTCACAATGGTGTTTTTATATCTTAATAGAAAAATAGCAAGAAATCGTCCATTCTGGATCATAATGTGGCATCTGCTTACATTTAGGAATGGCCCTCCATCAAAGAAGGAGGTACTTTTCTCTGAAGGGAGGAGAGAACTTCCACTTTGATTATGGCCTTGTCTAAATAAGGTCGGAAATTGTGAACTCAAGAGGCTTCCACAGCCTTGGCAGCTCATGACAAGAGCCTTGGGTGATTACTGACTTCATAAATAAGAGTGTCAATTGTTAAATCAACAACAGGAGTCACTGTGCACTTTCTCCTCATGTAGGATCTCTGTCCTTAATGTGTTGTACTATGAGAATTAACGATAAAACTAGTACTCAAACAGTACTCTATACTCTGTGTGTCTGTGTGGGTGCAAACTGTTGAAATCTTTACTTAGTATATACTAAGTTGATCTTCTATATATAAAGATAGTTTAAAATGAATCTTAATGAAGGGTGGGATGGGAGAGGGAGCAGGAGATGGGATGGTTTGCGGGTGAGAGGGTGGTTATGGGGGGAAAACCTCTATAATCCAAAAGTTGTACTTTCAAAATTTATATTATTAAATAAAAGTTATCTAAACAAAGAAACTAGAATCTCATTTAAATTATCCAGCGGGTAAATGGTTAAATGAATTATGGTATGTAATTAGATGGGATTACATGCAATAAAAATTATAATTAGTGACATCACAGAAAAATATCCATGAGTGAAATACTGATTTTAAAGAATACAAAATTGCATCTACAATTACAGTTGTGAAAAAAATATATATATTTCTGCAAAAACTGTGTGAAAAAAAAGGAATGGCCCTCAGGGGAGGGC